TGATATTCCCATAAAAATACTAATTCCCACAGTTATTAAAAGAGTGGTCTCCCTCCTCTGGCCCAGATTTTGCTTATCTTACCAAAACCTTCTGCCATACAGGTTCAGGTGGGTAAGTGGAGAAAAACAGTGTTTCCTACAGCGTATTTATCTGCTTGGTGCTGCCGCCCAAGTGCTAGCGGAGGTTGAGGATTACTCGCTCCTTGAGAACTGTCGCTCTTGGACTGTCAAAGTACGTGTTGGCCAGTGCAAAGTCCAACTGGCCACAAGAACAGCCCAAGTACCAGGTACTGTGCCAGCGTCGTGAGACTGAGAGGGGTGGGAGGCTTAAGCTGAGGGTATCAGAGGCACAGCCTGAAAGAGGGGGACTGGGTACGGAAAGTTAAAGAGGCTGTGATAAGGCAGGAGCTGGTTAACAGGAAAGTCTCCTTTTTTGGAGAGACAGGGTAGGAAATACAGTTAAAAGTAGACTGATGGAAGATTAAGCTGTCTGGATTGAGGGAACAGAGCAGAGAGGTTGACAGCTCTTGGGAATATCAGAATCTGTAAGAGAGCTTGGGCAGCTGAAGTCAGTCCTACCTACTGCTTTATTAGTTCAGGTAGAACAGGACTGTACCGAAGATCTTAAGCATCATAATTTTCCAGGTGATGCAAGCTTGGTGTCATGATTTTACGTCATGGCATTTCATCATTTGGTGGATTTCTTTTTTTCTCTTCCCCAAGCTTGCTCTTCAGCAATTTTTTTTTTTTTTTTTTTTTTTTTAGCTTACTCTGCTGAAAGAATAGCCAAGTGCTAAAATCAAATACTTGCAAGTTGGAAAATGTCAGTATAGAAGGCAGTGGGCTTCTTCAGATGACTCGGACATCTAAGGTGTTGCCATACCTGCTCCTGTAATTGCTGGAGTTCCCCTGTATGACCCTACTTAGTATGCATGGCATCCAGTATTTATTTCACAGCATTGGAACTTTGAAAAATTACTTGTTTCTAATAGGCCCTTCTGTGTTACTATTCCCATAACATTAAAGAAATGAAAATAACTTCCCCAGTTCCTGTGGAAGATATTTAAGGCTAAAGTTCTCTGTGTATGGAAAAAGCATGGTGACTATGATCACAAGTACCTTTTGTGCTCAGTAGGAGGTAGGTAAGGCATGTTGTCTTGGAATCTTTAGCTTTTTCTGGCATTTTGTGTGTTGGAAATAGAACTCTCATTGATTATGGCTGTGTTCTGCTGTTCAAATCTGGCAATGCTGGGTTCACCCCTGCTGACAGTCATGGTGCAGTATGGGGCATACCCCTACAACTGGATTTTAGTCATTGTTTGTGCTGGAGGATCACCCAGCATCACCGTGATGCTCTTTATCCTACATGTGTGCTGTTAATACTTGCCAGAGTCCTGAGCTGGATGAGTAGTTGGTCTGGTCCAGTATGTTAATTTTTATTGTAAAGACAGGCAGCATTTCTTCAGTCAAGCAGATGGAAAATGAGGAGCATGCACACAAGTGGGTTAATGTCCCCCAACTTTAGCGGTTTTGAAGTTAATCACCTATTTTGAGTTAGTTATTCAGGCCCCCATTGAGTTGGCAGTGACAGAGTAATTCATGTCATTCTGAATACCCTGTGAGGTGGGTGGGATCTGCGAGCCAGCAGCCTCTGATTCTGGAGCACACTTCGGTGATCAGTTTAGACTAGATACTTGACTTTGAAGAAGCTAAGAACCAAATTTGCCACTTTATTTTGATACTGAAGTCAAGCCACATGTCCATATTGTGCAAGAACTCCGTAACAGATACAGACATAGCATCTTCTGCATATCTGGAATGATGATTAATTGCCATAACCCTGACAATTCTGTTCCCTCTTGGAAGTTCCTAGCGTCTTTCGTAACATGCTTTCTCAACTTTTATGCTTCTTGCAACAAAGGAGACCGTGAAGGTCTGCAGAAAACCATCTTTTTGTGACACAGCAACAGAGATGACTTTAAAGAGGGGAAGACGCTGTGCAACTGTAAGTGAAGACTGTTTTATAATGCATGTGCCTGAGGGACCCAAATCAAAGCTACAAGGGAAGTTGGTTGTAGTATTTGCTACCATTTTAGTGGCTTGCTCAGTTAAAAGAATGCTAGGAGTATAGAGAGAGTATCTGGAATGTAATAAAAATAGCTGAGGTTTGTGTGTTCATGCACACAAAGCTTGATGCAGAATGGTCAGTGGTACTGCACTTCTGTTCCCGTCCCTCCCTCCTCCCCGCCTGTGCACACACAGCTCCATTTGGAATATCTGCTGGAACTCGTGAAGATCCACAGGCCTGATCCAGAGATACTCTCTGATGGTCTGCCACTCCTGCTAACCTGAGAATTGGATCATAGCTTTTTTTCCTCCACTTGGAGTTGAAGGAATATGCAGGTTATACAGACAATGTAAATGCATATATGTATTTATCTGGAGACTGAGGAAATTATTTATGTTAACAGTGCTATGTTATAGCACCATTTTTTGTCTGTATTTAGAGAAATGACCACTGCATTCTTGAGGATTCTGAACTGAAACTTCATCTCTGGATTATAGAGAGTATATCTCTAAAAGAGAACCTGAATGAATTTCAAAGGAAGATCTGATCCAAGAAACACGGCACACTTTATCTAAGATAACAAATGATTTCTTGATAGCTTGACTCTACTGTAGGATTAAAACCTCTTGGCATGTATAGCAGTTCAGTTGATCACTTGAACTGCAATTAAAAAGTAGAACAAGTACACTCAGAATATTGTTTTTGTGTCAGAAATGCTCCTTCATGCTTGAAAATGATAAAAAATTGCAATCGATCCTTACAACTGTTGTGTTCATCTTTATTGATCAGGCAAAAGAAAGATAAATCGCAGCCCAAATAGGATTATAGTAAATGTTAGCGTCGTAGGGGACTGTAGGATGATAGAGAGCTATTCATCACCCGGAATGGTGACCTGTCCGCGCGCGCACCGTCGTCAGTCTGCTGTCTAATCGCGTACCTATTGATTGCATCTACGCCCAAGCAACCTGGATGTGACTGTCATTGGGCAGCTGAGATTGCTAAATGCAAGGGGGTCACTGGTGTGAGGAGGATTTCATTTTCATTTTCTTACTGGGCAGCAATGATTTATGAAGAAATAAATGACCCCGAGTCACATGCATGGAAACCTTGATTCCAGTACAAATGAATTATTAGGTCTGAATCTCAGAAGCAAGAGTGCAGTAGACCACCGTGCTCTTTGTGATCTGTGCATGACCTTTGACTGCGGTGGATGTTACACAATTTGTTACAATTTGTGGTAAAATATTATACTTGCAATACAATTTTACTCATGTCTGGAGTTGGTATTCTTTTTCAGTGATTTCTGTACATTTCAAGATTATAATTCACAAGGAGGAACCTTGGAAGATGAGATCCTTAAATGGAAAGGAAAAATATTTTTTCCTTTTATTTTTGTAGATAGCGCTGCCTCTTTTGGAGTTTCCGTCAAAATGTTTTTGCTGTAGTGGGCTGTCTTACCTGCATTCCTCACAACATAATTTGGCACAGATAAATGTTGCTTAGGACACGTTTACTAACCCAGTGATCAAGGAGACTGTGTCATCTTTGACTTTTACAAAAGAGTGATCTCTCCAGTTACAGGGGGTTTTAATTTTTTTTTTTTCTTAACAATGTTTTAGGCATATTGCTTTTTCATATGTCAATGTCTTAAATAAAACTGCTTACTTTACCCAAAATAAAATTGGAATGATGCTTTCTATGGATTGCATTGTGCTGTCCGTGTATGTTAAATGTTTTAAAGACGCGAAACTGTGTTGCAGCATGAATAATTTTAAACCATGGTATTAATAGTTAGATTGTTAAAATAAGGATTCAAAATGTTTTTTACGTAATCACGCAGTGTGTGATTGTAAGAGTTTTGTTGGCGTGTTAACGTGACTCCCTGGGATGCCAGATGAGCATCAAGAGCTGCAAAGCTACGGAAGAGTTCTTGCAAGTGCCAGCAAAACCTTTCTACATCTCTGCGACCTGTTTGCCCCACCGTTCAGAGAAAAATGGGTTTAGAGAACTTTTGAACTGCTTTAACTTTTCTTTATTCCTCCAACTGTGAAGCCAGGTGCCTTGGTTATTACATCTTAAGTCCAACTGTGCTAAGGCTATAAAAACCTCTTTAAAAATACCAAGTATATATTACCTAGACATGAAGCATCACAACATTATAGTGATTTGTCTTTGAATATCCTACATCCCGCTGAGAAACTTTGCCATTTTTAAGTATAGAAGTTTTATTGCTTGATGATTCAATTGCGTCTTGCCTGCATTTTGGAAATTAATGATTTGGTATAACGGAGTGAAAGGCACTCCTGGGTTTAGGGGAGATGAAAATATGTTCTGAAGCTGCCTGATTTTAAAAATTAAAATTAGCAACTGATTGAAGCGACCTGGAAGTTTGGAATATTAAAATAACTCACCGCGAGAGGCATTATCAAGGCAAAGAGCAAAAGAGGAAGTCAAGCCATAGTTGGTTTATTGTGCAGCCTTGAAGTTTGACTCGAGTATCACCTGCAAACTAGATAGGGATATATGTGTAAGTAACACAAACAGGGACACGCAAAGAAGTAAGGATTTGATTTTTTCTTTTTTTCGCCCCCTTCTTTTATTTCTAATGGAGAAGCTCCAAAGGCTCCAGCAGCACCTAGTGCTAAATATGTGATTCTTATCCCATGTCTCTTTACAGTTTCCTCCCTAAGAGCCATCTCTTTTGCATAGCCTTCTGGAACCAAGAGGACACACTTATTTAGAAAAACACCGGGGAAAAAAAGAGTCATGTCTGAAATTTTGTAGAATACTTGATTTGAGGGTTTGGTTTTGGGGTTTTGTGGAACAACTTAAATGGATAAAATATCCAAATTAGCATTATTTACTAGATATTAGCATGCATATAAATGATACTGTATGAAATCTGGTTTTTTTTTTCAATTTTCCAGAGTGCCCAGTTCTACAAAGTTACCACGGAGCAATACCAAAAAGCTGCCGATGAAGTGTCAGCTCGGTTCAAGTAAGTCTTTTCTACTGTTGTTTTTGAGCCTGGCAGCTAGATGAGTTCTTATTCACATTAAAATTCACAATAATTCCCCTTCCCCCTATCGTAGATCCTATCGGTCTGTGCTGGTTGTTGAAATGAGAGAATTTTGAAGAATTTGGAAGCCAGTGCATAGTAACCATAAGCTGCATAGAAATTGGATGCGCAGTTAGTAATGTACTAATTAATTTATATTTGATAAGACGCATGAAACATTCTAAAAATATATTCCTTAACATTTTTTCTCTAATGGAGAACCAAAAATGTAGTTCCAACTTTGCATTACAATAGTATTCATCCTGTGCTTGCACGATGTGAAAGGATTTAAATTAGCAACTTCACTTTGCCCTTAACAGTGAAGGTCAAATGAAATAATTTTTATTAGTCCTGAGGAGGGTTAAATGAAGATATAGTAATTGATGGATCAAAGCGACTCTGCCCCTTAGCCTTGGACTCTTCCCTTTTTGCTGGTTCGTCCGTTAGGCAGAAAGTTCCATTTATCATTTTAGTAAGGATACAGAGAGAACTTTTTACAACCTTTTAGTCTCAGCGGTAGGCAAGAAATGCTGTATAAAAGAATTATTCTGTGATGATTTTTAGGTTTGTGGAGGGCTTTGCTTTTGTTTCGGGTTTTGTTTTGTTTTTCGATGAGCAAGAAGAGAAAAGGCTTTTTTAAGCTGCTGCCGAGGATAAAGTTCTTAACTGTAAGATAAAAATCGTTTTATCTCTTAATATCACGAATTGTTAAATATTCTCTAGTGTATATATAAAGCCTTTGTACTGGTTAATGGTGCGGAGTATACTGCGGACTGAATTCAGCTGCTCCTTAAAGAAGAGGGACAGAATGACCATTGTCTCAAGGTCTGATTTCAGCGTAATTTGGAGGGTTTCCCATTATGGATGGGAAGCCTGGTGTGGTGTTAGTCATTCTCATTTTTTTTCATCTGTGATAACATTCCCAGCAAGGGGATATTTCCCCTTCCTGTGTTACAGTGGGGTATTTTCAGGTTTTGACATCTAATTATTGCCTAATCTGACTTTCATTATTCCAAAACAAGCTTTTGTTGTGATTTGTAGTTGTTGATAGCTCTAGGTGGTTATTGTGGTCAGAGGTGGGAAATGGTTTCGGGTTTGGGTTTTTTCCCCCTAATATATAAATAACATATAAATAATTTCAAATGCTTTTGGGTTCCTTTTTGCAGAGACGGAGCTGGTAGACGTAGCAGGGGCCAGTCCTTAGCATCAGGCGATATCTAAGAATTTTAAGAAAGCCATTCTGAAGGATGTTTCAGTCTATCTGCATAAACCAAAGAGTATTTAATGAAAAGGGATTTGGAGAGGGAATCAGAGATTCCTAACACTTGATGAGATTGATCTTTTCTTAATTTTCGAGAGACCAAAGTTATAAATAGAAATCACCTTTTTGACTAGTCTTTGCTCTAATGCCATTACTGAAATTGCTGTGCTTCCTTTGCACTTCAAGCCAAATTTTCTGAAAAATTATTTGCAGCTTTTTGATTAGTGGATCCAGTTTTGGTCCATTGCCTTAAAAAAAACAAAAAGAAAACATTATGAAAAGAAAAAGATTTCTGAAGTATACGCATAAATTGCAGCAGATTTGAGAAAGTGCATGAAATACCAGTATTACTCTATAATTTAAAAGTTTTCCTTATATAAAATCCTTTTAAATGCCATGTCTTTTTATTGAAGGTTTAAATTCAGCAGACGTTATTTTATCACTGCCTTTTGTATGTAACTTGATGGATAAATTATGAATGATTTAGTGAAACCTAAAGATGATGTTCTTTTGGTGTCACCAGGCACTTCTCATGTTCAGTTTAATTGCATGTGAGGATTGAGGACAGAGTTTCAAGCAGTGGTGTTTAAAGAGCTTGTTTAATTGGCTGTAAAAGAAGAATTAAATAAGGTTGAACTGCTAAATTTTATTAATGCATAAACTGATGTGCTGCACATCAGTGTGATTTCAGGTTCTAAGTGCAACATTAATAGATCTAATATTATTACTACGAAATAGTTTCGCTTTATTTTAAACACATCTAGAATTAGTTGCTAAGTTTTACTGAGGTAACTTGCATTTCTTCAACTTTTTAAGCTACATCTCTTTCGAGAGCAAAGAGAAGTGGATAATTGCTTCAATATTTCCTGGATTTTCCTTTTCCTTCCTCCATTTAGTCCCTGAAATTACATCAGCTGTGGCTTCATCAGTCTTTAGGGATAATTCACCCCATTAAAAGGGAAAAAACAAATATTCCATACAGACTTGTATGAGAGAACTGGCAGGTCTTCTGTACTTTGTCTGCAGTCCTTATTGATGCCTGCTTATTACCTTCTGCAGCGCTGCCTGGATTAGACTGATATTCCAAATGTTCATGATAAATGTTTTATCTCCGTGAGGTCCTGATTCACATTGATCAAATTCTGATTTATCAAATGGTTCATCTCTTTAAGACGCTAATTCACATTGATCAAATCCTAAATGACCAGGTTCAGTCAGTTCCTGCAGTACACAAATTACATTAAAATGACATTACTAGAGCATGCTGCCTTTTCTAATGTAGGAGTTATGTTACCCGCAGTTACATTATAACCAGAATTATTATATTATGAAGATGTCTCTGTTATAATGAGAAGTTTACACAAGAAGAAAAGAATGCAATATTACAGGAAGAGCTGGGCTTTGGGCAAAGATTTGAGCTTTAACTAATCAAATTGTACGTTTGTATTGTGGGTTTTTTCCTTAATTTGAAGGGCTGGTAGCGGGAAATTTGGCAGCTGCGGTGGTGACGTTTTATTCCCCCGTGGTGTCTAGAGCCAAGTAACATCTTGATTATTCATTTAGGAATAGAGTAAGTGGATAGGGCAAATTTGGTCTAAAATAATTGGTTTTATTGTATCTGTGGATTTTGATTCCCTGTGGTAGATAATAGAATTCATAGCTGTGCACTGATGCTTTTTCCAAAATATTTTGCCATTCCTCTCCTGCTCCACCGCTCTCTCGTAGACAACATGGAGTTGTTTCTTGTTGGTTTCTTGGCAAAAACATAGTCCCCAGTCAGCCAGACTGATAGAAAATCCAGGTCCTCTTTGGGGATCAGCTGTTTATTTTGGTTTCTACTGCCCAGGTCGTGTTTGTGTGAAGCAAAGCAAGGGTAAGGTTTTCCCCGGTATCTCAATGTGTCACTTCAGTGTCACTTCTAAACTCCTGTGTCTGCAACGAAGCCAAATTCTGGATCTTGTGCGTCATGGCGCAGGGTTTATATGTATTTGTATGTTGATAGAATCATAGAATTCTAGAATTGTTTAGGTTGGAAAAGACCTTTAAGATCATCCAGTCCAACCATTAACCTACACTACCAAGTCCACACTAAACCAGTCAAGGGTAGACTAGACTAAACCATGTCCCAGACTCCTGGATGAAATTATCCAGCGCTAGCAGTTTTAATCATGGAGGGTTCTTTGAATCATCTGGAAGATTGGGCACTTATTCTGAATTATGGATTTTGATGGCTCTATTCCCTAACTATGAGACTTTTGATCATGAACCTTGCCATCAGGAGGAATGCCTCTTGGGAACTGGAGGAGCTCATTTGATTAAACACAGAAAGGTTTGGGATTTGCTCAGGCTGCTTCACATGATACAATCTTTACACATTTGAGATGTTTTAAAAACAGTTTTACAAACCAAATCAATATGTTTCACATGATCCTCGATCATTTCCATTGCTCTGATTGCTGATGGAAGTTAGGGCTCGGTGATAGCCAGGCAACAGGCTATTACAACCTTGAAAATATATTCAGCAGGGGGGTTGATTCAGGATAGAATGAATGGGAATAAATGACAAAACATCAATATCATGTCTTCCTTTAATTGATGACTTCTGTATCATGAAGTTTGGTTTATTAATGTTTACTGGAAATAAAATTTAAAGCACAGTTATGCTTGATGGTTATCTGTAAATACATAGAAACGTGAAGAGTGCTTCCTTCATGTTGTGTTTTAGCTAATATTCTTTTGAACTGGGAAGCGACGCTGAGAAAGTTTGTAATGAAGCCACATTAAGTGAATAACAGTGACACTTTGATCTTCAAGTATAATTGTCTCACAAAGCAGTGATGCCAGTTTTCTGGACATTGAAAAAAAATGCAGTGTAGAGAGAAAATAAGCTTTTTAATGACAACATTGGACTGAGACCAGAGAAATGTGGGTTTATTTCACCGTTCTCGTTACCCACCTGATGGTTGGCACGTATGGTGACTTTTAAGGGACTCTTCTGCACTATCTGTGAATTGGGAATATTGATAGTTCCTTAATGCAAATGTCTTCGGTACCTATCATGTTGTACTCACATACTGCTGTAACATAGAAACCCATGTTGGAGACACCCAGGCAAACAGTTTCTGCTTTGTTTCTGCTTGTGCAGAGCCGCTGGTGAGGAACTTCCAGTTTTCTAACAGTTCCTTTTGCTACCTTAATTAGCATTAGTTGCTGTTAAAAAGTAAAGTTAAAAGTACAGATTATAAATTATTTGTGAAATTCTACATAGTATTTTTCCAGTAACAAAAACTAGAAAGCTATTTAGAAATCCTTGGACAGAGCCTGCAGGCTTGCCTTCTAGTTGAGTTCCCTTTGCTCAGCCAAAGACGATGGGCTCGAAGTAGAAACATCCTGAATTAATCTTTTCTCTTACAAATATAGCATGTGTATGTAGCGCTTTGTCATGAAACAGTTGTTTCAGTCTGACGATACTGTTGCTGGTAGTATTCCTGAATTCTTTTTTCACGTGTTATGGCTGGGGATGATGGTCCCGAGTTATCCACGACATCCCGCAGATGAGCATAGGCCTGGTATGTTTGTAAATTATGCTAGAAGGAGTGCATAGTGTTAAATACCATCAGCTCAGCTTAAACCATGGAGCTTTTCTTAAGGGCAGAGGTATTCAAATAGTCTTATTTCT